TATCGAATGTTTTTATTTGGATAAGTTAAATTATTTAATGTGATTCATTCGCCGTCTGATGCGAATACTCGTGTAATGCGGGTACTAATATAAAGTGAGTGTTCGTATGATACGAATACTCACTTTATATTAGTACCCGCATGATATGCATTAGTACCCGTGTGATACGGGTATCCGCGTGATACGGGTACCCGCGTGATACGGGTACCTGAGGAATCGGTTCTCATCCGTGTGCAGCGAATGACGGGCGGGCGGATGGGTACCCGGGTTTTCCGAGCACTAGTGAAAATAAATATTTACTTGAGAATACGAGACTATTTCAATTGATGTAATGAAATTCAGAAAATAATTACTTCATTACAGTGAATATTTTGTAGATTCAAGAAACCAAGATTTTACTTCAAGATACATTTGTCTTACATAAAATAAATATTAATCCAATAAAAAAAAAAATTTACCTAAGAATAAAAAGTCATTATGATTGTATTAAAATTCAGTGAATAATTACGTCATTATAATGATTATTTCGTTGATTCAATATTTAGATTTTGCTTCAAGATATATATTTCTTAGATCAGATAAATATTTACTTCAATAAAAACTTTTAAATAAAAACAGATTAAAATATTATGAAGCTTTTTTATTTTTTTTTTATAATTGGTCTTTAACATATACAATTAGAAGATACATAATGTTTTAAATTGGACATAGTACATTTTGTTTACCGTGTACATTTTGTACTCGATAATCAAGAAGATTTTTGTGGCTTATAAATCCCTATTCTTCTGTCTCTGTGATTTCGGAAGCGCTTAAATGATAACAGTGTTCTACAATTTGAATTTTGTGGTACAAAAAAAAAATTTCTTTTTCAAAGCTGATAATTATAAATTTTATTTTACCGAGAGAAATGCCAAAGTCGTTTTTACTATAATTAATAACATTATTTATTTCGTAACGCGTACCATTAATTCTTATCCAAGAGTAGCAGTTATAATAAAAAAAATTATGTGAAGGTAAATATTCTTTAAAACTTTCAAATTGACTTGTTAATCTAACTTTTACAAATGAAGTACCATAAGAAAGATCATCAGAAAATCCAATATTACGTACTATTCTATGGCAAAACTGTAATTGATGCTTTACTGCTAAATTATACGAAGGGTTTTTACGACTAGTGATAATTTTACTAGTTTCTTTTATTTGTTTGTGCTTGGCTTCGTAGCGCATACTGGACATATTTTTGAGTGGACCGAATGCACGCATAATTTGGGGATAATGCAGAATATGATGTTTAAATTTAAAGTTACATTTAAATAATTGTTTATAAGAAGTTAAATATTGGACCACTAATTTTTCAAAATTTTTAATTATTTCTTTGTTAATAGCATCTGCTGTTGCTACACATACAATTTTACGCATTATTAAATATAATTGCCAATATTTATTATTATTTTTAATTAAATCACCAACAAATAAATCAAGATTTTTTACAAGATAATGCATTTCAGATGCTGATAATATAATTAATTCTTTTTTAATTGA